CAAGCCTCTTTCCGGCCTTCCTAACGCTCTCTCGTCCCCCAACCCTGAAGGCTGAAGAAGCAGAGAGTGTGACAGATGTTGCGCCTTCTACTACGGCTATAAATCCACCACACGAAAGTCACTGCCTTTTGCCCACCACGCCGTGAGGGCATACGGTAAACAACGTTGTTTTTTCACGCTTGAACTGGCGATAAAGCCCAAGCGCCCTTTTACTTGTGCTCTAGACACGGTACTTGCGGCTGCGTAATTTGTTATTCTGCTTTTGGCAGTGCGCTCATACTACCTTTGTGTATGCACGATTCAACTGATTTTCCTACTTTCCTTTCAGTATCATCCAAGCCGGAAAAAAGTACAACGAATCCTTGTGTTCGGAGTATGTTGAACTGCTAAAGCAGGTAACTTCCAGTTCGGTGATTTTTGTGTCTAGTTCTGTCTTTTTCTGGCGGTCGTATTCGATGATTACAAACTTTGGCAACTTTAGATAGCGAGCAATCATCGACACTAGCATTTTGTCTTAGAGACTGAGATAAGAACTCTGTGGTAATAAAATTTTAGGCAAGATAAATATTCTCGTGCCAAACTCTTCACACTAACCTCAACCTTAACGCCAACCATAATCTTCCTGGAAATTAACGCAAGGTCCACGATATACGTGGGGGGAGTGTAACTCATTTCCCCCTGTGAGGCCGTATTGTCTTCAGGGGTGAATCCATTTCTGCATATTGAATCAATAATGAAAATATCCCTGCTTGAAGGGTAGAGAGCAATTATCTGAGCGAGTGGAACCTGTTATGTATCGAAAACTGAAAGGCTTTTTGTATGCAGGACGAATGTAATGTATGTAAAACAGAAGGCCGTCTGTAGGCAGGATGTGTACTGAAGACGGGGAACAGTTCAAGTGATGAGTCATGTCAAGAAAGAGGGCTTTATGACGGGGCTTAAACGTCAGAGGCTGAAGGATAGCCAGTCAGAACAAAGATAAGTGTGCTCCCGCTGACTAGGGGGTGAAGGCTGGCCAGTCAGAACAATGAAAGGCGTGAACACGTGTCCGTGACCTTAACTGGCGCTTGACGCGCGCATTATGTCCTGACGTCCCGAAACTACGGACAGGCGTACACAGCAAAACCAAATTTTCTTTTCTAATTATTCGTATCTGTTAATTGTACCGTCCTGTAACGATGTCAGCACGTCCATGAAGGCAGTAGACATATTGTAGTAGGCGCTCAGCTCAATAATTGAATGTGCAATTTTCAAATTACTTCGATATATTTTACAGGGAAAAAAACTTGTCTCAGGCCAGGCGTAGAATTATCCTGTCAGCTGCATGCCTACGGTGTCTTTTCCACCCTTATATGTAACTAGTGGGCCATTCATGATTTGCTTCTATGAAACACCGGTTTTTCTACGACCGGTGTCTATATCGTATGCACTCACCGTCGTAGTATCATGCGCAGCGCCTGCAATAAAATATAACCGATTTCCCTTGTTCTTCCAGGATCTGTTGGCAAGTTTTATTTGTAGCACTTACTGACTTTTCCACTTTTTATGCCACTAACGGAGCTAACTGATTTCGTGGTTTGCACAAGTGCGCACGAGGTGTCGCAATTAGGGGACGCAAAATAATATGCTACGAACTGCTAGCCAATGACCTCGCTGTTCAGGTGACTGCTGTTTAACAAGCTAGACACTGAACACTTTGGTGTTTCTTGAATTTTTCGGTACCGCTGATATGACTGAAATTTGCCAGTGTTTCGCTTTTTATTGAACTTTTCTGCTGGACTCCGAAGAGATGATGTGTTTTAATAAAAGTTCGTTCATATGAAGCTTTTGGCCATCAATAAAAAGATCGAATTTTCTTTGTGTAGATCGATTTAAAAGGTCTTTTGAATGCACTTCTATCAGTCTCTAGACTGCATTAACTCTAATTAGAATTAATTCAACAGACGTGTGCTGTCATCCTTTCGGATTCTAAATACTTTTTCCAAATTTTCCACGTTTTAGACCGAAAATGAGAGCCTCCATCAGACAGTTGATCCCCCACCCATCTCCTCTAAACGGCATATGGCCAACCTCTTCCTAGAAACAGGCGCTGCCAACGACTACCTTAGCAGTGCATCGGGCTCCTTCGTTCCCATAATCCAACTGCTATGCATTAAC